AGATCACCCTCCTCAGGGATGAGGAAGAAGAAATTTGGAAATACCTAGACAAGTTTAGCTGCCCAGTGTCTCCTGTTCCTGCAGCTCTGCTGAGAGGCGTGGCTTGCATTTGGTGCTTTTGAGGCAGACTTTCAAAGACCTAACATTTCCATTTCAAAGTTACTTAACATTTAGCGCTCAGTGCAAGGCAATGCTCAGAGGCTTATACTTTAGAATGCAATGTATGTATTATTTATATGCACACATTTATGGATTCACAAATGTATCTGCATGCTAATTATTCAATTCTATTATAGAATATAATATTCCATATTATTGTTCTGTTGAGGTACTATGTGGATGTCTTCAGGGTAGGAAACTAATACCACGTTCAGGTTTTGCATTAGTGTCTCTGTCTTCCCTTTTTCCTTTCTTTCCCTTCCTCTTCCATCTATTGCATTTCTTTGTTACATGAAGACCCTGAGAAGTGAAATATTTGAGTCAATCTTCCCTGTTAGGTATCAGGGATTGCAGGACTCTGGACCCAGCATTGGTTCAGGGTGTGGTGTGAGCATGGAAGAAAAGAGAGTTGAAGTTGGGTTCTCTTAGTATACGGCCACATCTAGGGGAGCTGGGCTGGGGAGGAGCCCGTAGCTAGCTGAGCAGGACAGAGCCAACATAACCCAAACATAGACAGATGGATCTGGCCTCAAGTCTTCGTTTTAAGCCTCTCAGTAGTCCCTCCCCCACCCGCTTTGTAATTCAACTTATAAGATTGAAGAAGATCCAAGTGTTAATGATTACAGTTAAGTGAATAAGGCATTAGGCATGAAAGGTGGCCCTCCTAGGCTTATATGGCTTCTCCACTCACTAAATGACTTGATATAGGAAATCAATATTGTATTAATATTAATATTTATGTTTTCTTTCTGGCTTGATTTTTATTTTTTCCCTTTTAATTTCCACCATCTTACCTACACCGATGTACTCATTACCCATGCTTATTAACTATTTGTACAATTATCATATTAGCATTCACATTGCTGGAGTTTCTTGCTCGACTTTTGTAGTAAGAAGGAAGGGAAATTCTACACTAACTGACAACCAGAATGGGTAGAGGGACCTCTTTAAATATTAGTAAAATACACATATTACTATTTTAAGCAAATGGAAATCAGAAGAAAAGAGTGGTTGCAATCTTATTTTCAGATACAAGCAGATTTAAAGCAACTAGAGTTAAGAATGACAAAGATGGACAGTTTATACTGGTCAAAGAGACAATACAAGAGGAAGACATTTCAATTTTAAATATTTATCCACTCAAATGCTCCCAGATTTATGAAACAGACTTTGATGGGTCTGAGCAATATATCTCATAAGATCATAATAGCTGAGGACTTTAACACCCTTCTGATAGAACTGGACAGATCCTCTAAATAGAAACTAAACAAAGATGCAAAGGATTTAAATGTGACTCTAGAACAAATGGGATTAATAGATATATACAGAACACACCATCCCAAAGCTAAAGAATACCCATTTTTCTCTTCAGCCCACAATACATACTCTAAGATACACCACATCCTAGGATACAAATCAAACCTCAGCAAAATTAGAAGAATAGAAATTATACCTTGTATCTTCTCAGACCACAAGGCAATAAAGGTCGAACTCAACTCCAACAAAAACATTCATCCCTACACAAAGACTTGGAGATTAAACAACTTTATGCTGAATGATAGTTGGGTTCAGGAAGTGATAAAAGAGGAAATTGTTAAATTCCTCCAACATAACAACAATGAAGACACAAGTTACCCAAACTTGTGGGATACAGCAAAAGCAGTCATAAGAGGGAAAATTATTACATTAGATTCAAAAAACAGAGAGAGGCTGGGTGCTTGTAGTTCAATGATTAGAGCACTGGCCCCATGCACCAGGAGTGGCAGGTTCTAACAATGCACTGGGGGGTGGGTTCTAACAAGACAAACAAAAAATAGACAGCACATCAACAAACTTCAAAAGCCATCTTATGGAATTGAGAAAAGAAGAACAATCTAATCCCAAACCCAGCAGAAAAAAAGAGATAACCAAAATTGAACCAGAGATTAATGAAATTGAAAAAAAGGGATTGTTCTGAAAATTAATGAAACAAAAAGTAGGTTTTTTGAAAAAATAAATAAAATTGATGAATCTTTGGCCAGATTCACTAGAAACAGAGAAGTAAAATCTCGAATAACCTCAATCAATCAGAAATGATAAAGGGGAAGTAACAACAGATGCCACAGAGAGACAAGAGATCATCTCTGAGTACTACAAGAAACTCTATGCCCAGATATTTGACAATGTGGAAGGAATGGATCAATACTTAGAATTGCACGTGCTCCCTAGACTTAACTAAGAACACATGGATCGTTTGAACACATCAATTTCAAGAACTGAGATCAAAGAAACAGTAAAAATCTCCCAACAAAAAAATGCCCTAGTCCAGATGGCTTCATACTAGAATTCTACCAAACCTTCAAAGAAGGGTTTAGACCCAAACTGCAGAAATTATTCCAATAATTTGAGAAGGAAGGAATCTTCCCTAGCATGCTCTACAAAGCAAACATCGCCCTGATACCCAAACCAGAAAAAGACCCAACTAAAAAGGAGAACTTCAGACCAATTTCACCCCTGGTGAGATTTAAGACACATTGGGTACCCCATAAATATATATACAATTATGATTTAATAAAAATTAAGTTAAAAATTTTAAAAAAGGATACATAGGTGAGAACAGACTACTTTGTAGCTTTGGATTACATAGTTAGGGGACTTATTCTTTTATGGGCAAAAATAGAATTTTTCTTTCTTTTTCTTAATAAACATCACTATTTAAAACTTTTTATTCTTAATTAGAGATTGCTTCAAATATTAATATAGGCTTTGAAATCCTACACTGTGCCCATGTTGCGATAGCGTACTGGTAAGCATTCCGTGCAGTGTACCCCATTTGTTAATGTAACTGCACAAAGCCCCATTCCCAGAAGGACACCTCGTCACTGGGGTACTTAGTCCCTCTCTTGCAAGTTCTGAGGCTGGCAAATGAGAATTTAGTTGTAAAAGAAAACCAAGGACACGTTTGGACACCCAAACAGAGGGAAAGTATACCACACACAAATTTTTCAGAAAGAATCCTCCACAATGTTCACTAGTATAAACAAAATCTGGATTTAAGAAAGGGGAATGCAAGAATGCTAGCAAGATATCCAGAAATTCATGGTTAAGTTTAAAATATTGTCAATAAGTAGTAATAATCCTGAACTAAAATGCCAGGTGATACTAAAATATGACTGGAGTAGAACCATCAAAGTTCCGGATCAAACACAGGCAGTGGCCATGAGAACCCTACCCTCAACTCTTCCACCAGCTGTGTGGTCCCTGTGAGTCCCCCAACACTCACAGAATAGTGACACTTCTCTGTCCGAAGCAATGTCTGCCAGGAAATACACCAATTCTCTTAGGAAAGATATGTCATATAGAAATCAGTTACACAATAATGTATAATTTTTATTGCTAAAACCAAAAGTTACAGTGTCTTGACCACAATATGAAATATCATAGATTTTTACAATTGAACTTCATGTACTTGGAAAGTATATTTCTTTGGATCTGATCTATAGAAATTTTGTTGGGCTCAATTATGATGCTTTTATAATACCTGCAATTATAGTGGAACTTGTTGAAACTAAGGCTGTGTCTCAAATACGTGTACATGTCCTACATGATATGAAAGGCTTTTAGTAGAAAAAAATATATTCTAGTGTGGGATTCCCTACAAGTTAATAATCAAAGAAGTGAACTTGGCTATAAGGCTTTGAATTAATTCCTGTGGAAATTAAAAGGAAATAACTGCCTATGGCAAATAAGAATTGAAAGAGGCTGGAGAAGACAAATACACACCAAACTAACAATGAAAAGTCCACCAGTATTGGAGTCACATAGTTCTAGGAACCAATTTAGGGCTTCACTGCTTGGAGTTTTTCGGGAGCTTAGAAACATGTAAAAACTGTGTCTGTATGCACATGTATGTTCAAATGTGTGTATATACACACATCACTTTCAAGCCTCAGTCAAAACCTTAAAATTGATAAATCAAGAAAGTGAACTGAAGAATGTTTAGTAACTATAGACCTAGTTAATTTGCTAATTCAGTCATTTCATGAGGCATTTTAAGTATAGCGCTACCTCCACTTCAAAGCACCATTTTCTGTTACTATTTTTGAAAGGAAAGAACATACAAATTTATTTACTAAAAAGGAAATGTTCATTTGAAAGCAGAAGCCCTGAAATCTAGCTATAAGCGTAGAGGTTTTCATTATCATTTTCAGAAAGCATACTTGGAATATTATTGATAAGTTAGCAGAGAAGAACTGAGGATGAGGTGTCATGTCCCGTCCTGAGGGATCCTATTGAGTAAGAGAGCTCTCTCCTTGCTTGTAGTGACACAACTCTCTGGGCAGCTATCACAGGTGCTGACAGAGGAGGAAGCCTGAGAGTCTCTTTTCTAGTTACAGAAGCTGCTGGTGTTGGGCTCACTGCTGCTCCTGGCGGCTGGGGGGTTACAGCCCCAGAGTTCCAGGGGTGTCTCTGTTTCAAGGGGCAGTTAAACATGAAGTATGCAAGATGGGCATACTGGGTCTTCAGGCAGGAGGGGCACCCCTTTATCATGAGCTGGCCCCAGGAAAGGAGGACATCCTTTCATGACTCCAGGAATTGGGAAGGGACATGTTGGTGATAGCATTGTGATACTTGATCATTCAAAATACTAGGTCATTCAACATAACCTCTGAATGACGAATTTATATAGGGTATGTGTGTATCCAATAGCACAGACTGGTATGGATCTTGAAATAAATATGTACATTTACATATATTGCTCTCTCTATATAAACTCCCTTATTCTTTTTTTTTTTCCAAAAAGAGAAAAAAACATTTATTTGACTAAGTGAGACAAAGTCTTTACTTCCGGGTTTGCCTTGCTAGTGTCCACTGCCCAGTGAGCGGGGGTTCGAGTGGCTGGCAGAGCCCCCAGCAGGCAGGTTCTGAGCACTGCAGGCACCAGACACCATGGAGTCTCTTCCAGAAGAGTTAACTTGGTTCACCTGGCTAGAATTTTCTGTGGGACCCTGATCCTCTTCCAGATAATATTTTATCTTTTTAAAGTCTTCTGGGGGTAAATCTCCATTTATTCTCAGCAGGTAGGGGTGGCACTTTGGGGCTGGATCGTTTCTGGGCAGAATCAGGAGGAAGGGCCTGCTGGCAATGTGCTGGTAGGGAACCAGTAATCAGTCCTTCTGCGAATTTCTGAGATAAGACTTTTAGACTTCCAGAAAGCATGAAGAGATTTTCAAAGCCCCGCTCGTACATGGTAGTGGCTGCCTGACTGGCCAGCCTTTCATCGTCGTCGTACAGAATGATGATCTTGCCGTGGGCGTTTTTATATTCAAGAATATCATTTGAATAAGGGTTCATTGTTCTAGACAAAGTTGCAATTGGGTAACTGTAAGCTCCAACAATGTGGCACTGCTGGTAAGAATCTCTATCACCCACATCTAACAGCAGGAAGGGGCAGTCAGGATAAGGTTTGTCTTTGGGCTCTGCTTTCTCCACTAGCGTTTTGTCCAGATTCAGTTCCCCAACACCACTGATGATGCTCTGAAGAGTTGAGCGACTGGAGTCTCCTGCTCCTGTGTTGTTTATGAACTGGACAGGGCTAGGTGACTGCTCACCCAGGCTCCCTTTCCTGTTGGTCCCAGCAGTAATTTCAGCATCAGGGGCCGAAGTTGCAGAATCATCGTCTTCTAGCCTCTGAATCTCCTCTGCTGTCACTTCCAGTGTTTGATCAGATAGGGAAGCAACCTGGATGACCAGCTGGGCAAAAGTTGTAACTTTTAGTCTCTTAAAAGGCTCATCTTTTTTGTACCTATAATCTGGTTCTGGCTTAGAAGGGCAGCCATCTGTGGGACTTTTTTTTTTTTTTATCTCTTCTAGTTTCTCAGTGTATTTAGCCATACTGTTACCGGTGTCCAGTCTTGATTTGACATGCTGATATCTTGGATTCTGAGGTATCCTTTTGGTCAAATACTCGGGATTCCCAATGTGCCTCTGGACAGACATATTTGCTCCAACCAACCACGCTCTAGGTTCTAGCCTCCTGGATGCCGCTAATCCTAGCTTCCTATGACCCCTCAACCTCTCTCAGCCACCTCCTAAACTCCCTTATTCTATAGGATGTATATATGAGACAAACAAGAATGGATGGGTTTTTTTCTATTTTGTTTTGTTGAGGTGTTTCCTTTTGATAATCTTTAATTCTGATATAACTTCAAAATTGCAGGAAAGTACAATAGTACAAAGAGCTTCTGCACTTTGCCCCATTTACTTTATCATTCTCTATCATTCTCTCTCATTTTCTTTCTCTCCATATATGTAATAACTTGCAGAATCTATGCCCTGGTATCCCTTAAATATTTGTGAATGAGGACATCTCCTGCATAACTACAGTACAAGGATAAAAACATGGAAATTCAACATTGACACAATTCTACTCACTAAAACACAGTCCATGTTGAAATTGTGTCACTGGCCCCAGTAATGTTCTTCACAACTATTTTTCCCTAGGTTCAGGATCAAATTTGGAACCACACATTGCATTTAGCTGATATATCCTTTAATCTGGAGACATTCTTTGGTCTGTCTTTGTCTTTTATGACCTTGAGAACATGAAGAATACATTTTGTTTGGGGTAGTCTGACTGTTCCACATGATTCTCGTTAAATCTTCTGGGGAAGACTGCCATAAAACTGATGTTCTGTCCTCATAGCACCCTATAGGATGAAACACACCCCAACCCCACGTGCATCAGGGTCACACAATATCAGTTGGTTCCACTATTGGTGATATGGCTTTTACTGTTTAGTTAAGGAAGTGTCTACCAGCTTTCATTCTGAGGCCTCATCTTTCGGCTTGTAGTTGGCAACCATCTCTCTGTGTGTTCACCTGACCTTTTTTGTCCATTTGTAACTAACAGACTATTTTGTGGAAAAATATTTGAAGACCCTGTGGAGACCTTGTCCTCACCAAACTTTAATCCATTATGCCCCCCTCCACCCCTTTTTTTTTAAATAGACGGAATCTTATTCTGCTGAATAGGCTAGAGTGTTGTGGCATCAGCCTAGCTTACAGAAACCTCAAACTCTAGGTTCAAGTGATCTTCCCGACTCAGCCTCCCAAGAAGCTGGAACTATAGGTGCTGCCACCACACGCTTGATCTTTCTTTTTTGTAGAAAAGGGATCTCATTCTTTCTCAGACTGGTCTCAAACTCCTAGCCTCAAGCAATCCTCCTGATTCAGCCTCCCGGAGTGCTAGGATTATAGGTATGAGCCACTGTGCCTGGCCAAGTTCTTTAAAATATGTGCGATGATTAAAATAAAAACATAAATAAAATAAATAAGAATTATTTCTAACTGCTGGCCCCTCCTCAGAGTTTCTGACCTAGCCTTAGATAGGGTTCCAGACATGGGGTGCTGGCATAATGCTAAAGTATTAGAAAAACTTGACTTTATTGACTGTGTGAGTTGAAGAGGGCCATCATGACATTACCACACACTGGGCGGCTTAACCAACAGGTATTTATTTCTTCATAATTCTGGAGCCTGGCAGTCCCAGATCAAGGTATAACAGAGTTTGTTTCTCCTGAGGCCTCACTCTGGAGCATGCAGAGGGCTGTCTCCTCTCTGTGTCCTCACTTGGTGGTCCCACAGTGTGTACCTGTGTCCTCATCTCCTCTTCCAATAAGGACACCAGTCAGATTGGATCAGGGCCCACATGTAGGACCTCAGTTTAACTTCGTCACCTCTTTAAAGACCCTTTCTTTAAATGCAGTCCCATTCTGAGGTACAGGGTCAATATTTCACAGGAGTTTTGAAGAACAAAATTCAGCCCACAGCTATGACCTCAGAATTCCTAGTTGGACTTTGGATCTTTCTACTCCCTTTGATCCATACTTTCACTTACCTCTTTTTCTTAGCCTAGATCTGAGTTACCAAAAGAAAAATATTCAGGAGTGTTGTAGGAATAGCAGTCAACTCCAATACTTCTTAATTTTCGACTGCTTTCCTTCCCATGTGTCTTGCCTCCTCTGTTGGTTGTCTGCGTGAGGGCAGGACCTCGACTGCTTTCTTTACTGCTGTATTCTCAGGACCCAAAGCAGTGCCTGTTGTGAAGTAGTGCTCAGGAAGTACATTCTGGACACATGAATAGATTTCATTCATTCAAAATTCTCTCCCAAGAGGGCATGCACCTCTCTGTCCTCACTCTTTCTCTCTCTCTTTCATCCACACACACCCCTCCAATGCATACAGCATCTACATGATTTTCCAATCTGACTCATTTCTGACATTTTTAACCTTGAAAAAGGAAGTCACAGTACATTTTCTGCCTCCCTTTGCCCCAAGCCCCCTGTCCACTCACACTTGTCTTCCCTCAGCTCATTGGAAGCCCTGTGCACAGGCCAGCTCCTCATCTGGAGCACTCTCTTTTGCTCTTGAGCAGCAGCCCCCGAACTCAGGCCTGTGATCTGTGTGCTTTGTCACTACTATCTGTCTCCCAGCTGAGACAGAGCCTGAGGACTTGGCCTAGTTTTCTTACCATTTTATCTTTCTCTCAGTGCCTCTCACATGTTTTTGAATGAATGAATAAATAGAAGAATATGGTAAGATCACATTGATATTCTTATAAGTTACATAGGTGAATGTATCCAAAAATATGAATACACGTGCTTTGAAAAAGATCCCAGAAGATACACATCAAATTTGAAGTGTTTACCTCTTTGGGAAGGGAAGTGCAAATATGCATTTTCTTCCATATCCGTAACTATTGCTTGAGACCTTTATAAGGATGCATACAGTAAAAATATAACCACAGGAGCAAAGAGGGGAACAACCTTGCACTGTCACTGTTTTGGGTGATTACACTGTTGACTTTTTATACAGAGTGTAAGGAAGTGCCCCTCAGGCAATTTAGTCAGTAAAGTTGTAACGATGCTCATTCCCTCCAGAATTCTAAAATGTTTTAAATATTTTTAAATATCAGGCTCACCTATCTGGCTTGGTTCCTGAAGCACAGTGTTTATGGCACCAGCCACATACACTGAGGGTGGCCCAAACCAGCTAAACAACAATGACTTCTGCAACAAAATAGCCCCATATACTGGAGGTGGCGGGTTCAAACCAGGCCTCTACCAAAATAAAACCAAACAAACAAAGAAACAAACAAAAAAATAAATAGCTGGGTGTTGCAGTGGGCGTCTGTAGTCCCAGCTACTTGGGAGGCTGAGGCAAGAAAATCACTTAAGGCCAAGACTTGGAGGTTGCTGTGAACTGTGATGTCATAGCACTCTACCAAGGGCAACGTAGTGAGACTCTGTCTCAAAACCAAACTAAACAAACAAACAAACAAAAAAAACCTCGCCTATCAATAACAATTGTTTGAAATGAGGAAACTTCCCACTTACTCTCTATAGAATTTCAGTCCCAGGATTTAAATTCAGACCTAATCACCTCAATGAAAGGGGAGCACAGTGTTAAATGGGCCTCCTTTAAACCTCCTGGTGCTGTTGCGCAAACCTGGCAATGTGGTCAAACTCGTCCTGTGTCTTGCAGATCCCCAACATTTCTCCTCCAGAAACCCTGGGATGTGATTCTGATCAAGACAGTTGAGAAGATGCACCATGACACTCCTACTTTCCTCACTCCTTCACTTTTTCCCACCCAAACAAGATGTGGTCTGGGCTCTGGGCTGGTGTCATCCCATGCCTGAACCCTCACATCACTGAGGTAAGGAAGGAGTGGTAATTAATTTCCTTCAGTCTGTGACATAAATAAGCAGTGACTCTGCACAGCTTGAGGGGGAAGATGCAAAGCACAAAAGAGTTGCAAGTTATGGCTCGGCGCCTGTGGCTCAAGCGTCTAAGGCACCAGCCACGTACACCTAAGGTGGCGGGTTCGAATCCCCAGCCTGGGCCCGCCAAACAACAATGATGGCTGCAACCAAAAAAAAAGAAAATGGCCAGGCGTTGTGGCAGGCGCCTGTGGTCCCAGCTACTTGGGAGGCTGAGGCAGGAGACTCGCTTGAGCCCAAGAGTTGGAGGTTGCTGTGAGCGTGATGCCATGGCACTCTACCCAGGGGGATAGCTTGAGGCTCCGTCTCCAAAAAAAAAAAAAAAAAAGAGTTGCAAGTTATAAATCTCTACCTCAGTCCAGACTCCAGACCAAGGAGAGACTTCAGGGCTCCGTGGGGTAGAGCAGGGGTGCACAGGTGCCAGTCAGCTCCTGTGGGTCCAGGGAAGAAGACTCATATGGATTTTGAGGCATGCAAAGACCGCCTCAGCTTCTTCTCATCCCTGGTCCTCCACCTCTTCCTGGAGCAGAGCCCTCAGTGGAGTGGGGGCTGCATTGCCTGGACACTGTAGGGCAGCTCACTGTGGCCCTCCTGTCACCCTGTCCCATCTCCAATGTGACAGACTCTGCCTCGTCTCCCGAGTAGATGCAGTCTGTTTCCACCAATCCTGAGGCTCAGCCATGTGGACAAAGCTGCTGTAGGGCCACAAAGGTGAACTGGTGGAGGGAACCCTGGTGGACACACTGTCAACCCCCTTCAAGAACAGATCAGGATGCCAGGGTCAATGAGGTAGAATGATTCTCCTGAGGGCCCTGAGGTGGGCACATGAAGGTGGCCGGTCACTGAAGGCTTCAGCAAGGGACATGCTTGTTCACTGTGTCAAGGTGAACGTGAAACTCCTTCCTCTACACACCACTGCTGTGGTGGAAGGAACAGGAGCACTGACATCACAAGTGTGTCCTGGGCTCCTCGTGTCTGCCCCACTGGCCATGTCCTGCTCAGGCTGGATGTGAGTACCTTCTCCCCCGGGGACCCAGGTGAAGTGTGTGTATGCGTGACTAGTCCTCTTTCAGCTGGACACCCTGTTAGGTCAGCAGGAGAGAGTTGTTCCCTAAGTTGGTTCTGGACATGTCCTCTTGCACCCTGGCTAAAGCTCCTCACCCTCCTGACCCTACTTGGTCTGACCTTTCCTAATATAAGAGCAACAGCCCTTCAT